AGTAGCCTTTGGGAGTAGGGGCAGTTTGTACTAAAGTCATGTCACGAGGCACAATGTATTCAAGTCTTGCCAGACAATTTTGTATTAAAGTCGTGTCATCTCAGACAAATTTGTATTGAAGTCATGCCAAAGGATTCTGATATAAACAGGGTCATTTCTGTCAAATTGCTATAAATATTTTCTACCTTCAGCTTTCAATCTTAAGATTATTTTCAATCTCTTCTTTTTATTCCTTGTTGGTGGTAGTATTTTGCAGATATCATTACTATTTTCTACGTATTATTATAATTATTCGTATATAATTATCATGAATAATTATTATTTTTATATTATCTATTTACTGTATAAATTGTTTACTTTATTTATATAATTATTAGTATATAACTACTATGTATAATTATTATTTTTATATAAATTATTTACTGTTTAAATTATTTATTGTATTTAATAACTATTTACTATTATTTGATGTATTTATATATTTATATAGAGAAGATTTACTATTATTTTACATATTTATTATTTACTGTTATTACTATTTTTATATATTTATGTAATTCTTATGTAGAGTATAATTTATTTAGAGTATAATTATTATTAATTATTTGTATATACTTATTGTGTATAATCAATATTTTTAATAAAATTATTTAATTGAGTGTTCAGATTATTTACTGTATTTGTACATTTATATAATTATTATTTATTATTATTTTATATAACTATTTTGTAGATAATTATTATGTATAATTATTATTTATATGTAAATTATTTACTATATAGATTTGTATATAAATTATTTAGTGTAGTATCCTATTATTTATTATAAAAGAAATTGGAATATAATTATTTAACATTATTTACTGTAATATTATTTATTATATTTATTTAGTAAATATATTTACACTAGTAATTATGTTATTTTATAAGAATGATAGTAAACCAACATTATTATTTAACACGTTTTTATTACTTTTTGCAAGATAAACATGTCATAAAAGTCATATGGGAAGGAGATAAATGATAAATGAGTACTTCATCCAAGATATTATTGGTTAACAAAATTTTTTAATATGTTGGATAAAAAAGTATTGAAAGTCATACATCAACTTTTAGATTTTGTTAAAAATTTTAAATATTATCTCAATGTCACTTTATAACAATATTAGTAGTGACAGAGATTATAAATTCGTACCTTCCACCTTTTCATTAGAGAAACAATTATGATATTGGAAAATGACACTTACAACTTTATTTTTCAAATTGATGTAAAGTGTGTTATTGGTTTCATCAATAGTGAATGGATAAATTTTTGTTAACCTTTGTTAGGGTCACTTACTTTTTTGGTTAATTGCTACCTTCCAATAACTTCTTTATGACGTAGATAATAATGTTATTACTAAACATACTTGAGCATATGTCTTATGCATCATAGGATGTTTATTGATTTTAGATATATTAGTTTCTAGAGTTTATTTCATGTATCTTTTAAGACCTAACAATTATGTCTAACTATAGTTGGAAATTTATTGTGTTTGCTTGTCTTTATCAAGCTTTAAACCATGAAGTTGACATTCATCAAGAAAATATTAGAAGTTGTATGTTACTTATTCAATGTTGGACACAAGATAAATTACATGTCTTTGTCTACCTGTTCAAGATTTAACTGATGGAGAGACTGATGATATAGAATTTGGTTTTCCCTTAGCAAAAAGGTATAACCTAATATTTACCATTTTTTTTACCATATAATATGCATGAAATTATAGAATTATTCTTTATCTTTGGTGGTCTCGACTTGACCAAAGGTCAAATACTCTTACATATACATTGTATACATGTTATGAGATAGTTTTGGTATATGACAAAATATTTCTCATTATCCAATAAACCTAAAGGAACTTCGTAAAATAGATATGAGGGTGATAAGTCTCTAAGTTTTCCTGAGGAGGGAAAAGTTATTCTTAGGATGATCACCAGAAGCATGACTATAAGGGAAATATCTTCTTCACTTTTACTCTTTAATTTCCTAGACTCATAATTAAATCTTATATTTGTATAATTACTTAAGGACACTTCTCTTTTGAAGTCTACCACCTTTTTTGGAGGAAAAAAGTCTTAGAACCCAAACCTTTGAAGCATTAACAACCCATGAGGAAAGAGCAGGTCAACCATTGACCTTCTAGATGAGAAGGTCACAACCTTGGATGGAGACAAGGGGAAAGCCCCTTTTAGATTAAAAGTAGGGTAACAAGTGCTTCTAGAATCCTTAATGTAATTTTGTATAGTTCCTCACTCATGTCTATATATAGAAGGATCTCCATCTCTTATAAATGGTTAGAAATTGCATAAAAGTTCAAGAATTGTTCTTCTTGAGTATTTGTCTTTCTTGAGTCTTATCTTGAATCTTGGTTCAAGTGACAGTAACCACCACTTATCTTGAATTGGTCCATCCCCTAAGTGGCATGTTATCGCCACTTGTTCACCCCACTTCTTTTGATATTCTCCATTTTTGTTTTTATTTCTTCTTTTATTTATTGCATTGACTGGTCCTACACTTCAACCCATTGATATTTGTTGTTTCATACTTTGAATCACCTTTTCTCCTCTCTAAAATCCTTGGAAGTGCACCTTTACACTTGATAAGTGATTATCTTTGTGTCCAGTGAGAATCTTCCTTGTGTTTTATCTACTTAATTGTCTCACACACCTTATATGTTTAACTTTAAAATTGCACTCATATTAGAGGGTCAGAACAAACACATTTTGGTCATAATATCATCAATAGTAAATTGTGTTGTGGAACAACTGACATAATTGACTAATTGAATGTTAATAGTTCCACGAAAATGAATATTTGGGTGAAATATGTCTTACATGCAATGGTATTTTTAATGCATCATTCTATATTATTTTAACTTAGCAAGCACAAGATACAAATGATAAAATAAGTATAAAATATTATTTATTTATATTGATTATATTTTTCACACAAATATTAATTTGACATACTTTTTTATTAGTATGATACAAGTACAAGAGAAACAACAATACCAAACACCTGAGCAAACTTATCCACAATTGGCCCATCTACTTATCAGTAAGTTAATATGTAAATAAGTCGATCCATCTAGTTTCCAATTTATTCCATTTTATAATTATGTGGATCATCATCAAAATTTATATAGGGGAACCAAATTCAGAAGACATATATGTTTGTATTACCCCTTCCATGATATCATATCGTTAATGTATCATCAAGTTAAATTTATGGATTATTAGTAGCCAACAATGTCTACATTTCAAAATCCAACTCATGAAAAATAAAATGATAATAATGATTTAGATGCACGACAAACACCTTTCTTACAACAGAACGAAAGACTTAGACGAAATAGATCGTCGATACTAGATTATTTTTAATTTAGTCTTATATTATATTATTTTTCACCGTTAGATTCATTTCTATTATAAATATTAACGTATTCCATTTTGGTTTAACTATTCTTAAACTTTTAATATTTTTTATTTATAAATTTTATATGTTAAAATATGATAAATAGATAAATAAATATTATTTTATAATTAAACTAAAATAAAAATAAATAAATAGAATAAACATAAAGATAAAAATAATAAAATTACGTTCAACTCTTACTGCATATCACAATTAGTTATATATATATATAAAACTCATATTATATAACATAATTTTGATATTGATATTAAAAAAACGTAGCATAATTTTATAATTATATATATATATATATATATATATATATATATATATATTATTGAATACAATTTGCTATTAAAGAAATATTAATATTAAAAAAATCGAAGATAACACAACCTTCTTATTAAGAGATGAATGACTTCTCCATTTTTATAAAATTTTTAAGTTAGACTGATGTAATAAAGGTGTTAAATTGCATGCATTTGGTAAAAAAAAAAGAAAAAAAAAGGTATAAAGTTTGAAACTCAAATTTTATGTTGGGGGATAAATTTCAGAAAATTAATGTTTAACTGAAATTAAATTATATGAAAATGCACGTTCTTCATTTAAAAAATAAGAATAAAAAGCAACAAAAAGTTTATCGTCTGGTATATATGGAGAGTAAGAGGGAGAAAAAAATTTTACAGCTTTATCGTAGTGTAATGAGTAATTTTAATATTAGAGATTAATTTTATTATTCAGACTATATAAAAGATTAATCTTTATATTAAACATTAATTTGCAATAATATCTTCGTATTAAAAACTAATCTCATTCTTGTGATTATTGTTTATTTTTTACTTACTACAGAAATCAATCAATTGTAATTATGAAATTTAAAATTCTAATACAAAAAGTTTTAGAAATAAGGTTAAAATATTCTGAAGAATAAAACTATCTCTGTTTGAAAGATAAGTACACGATACACAATCGTAACACATCTTTTCTTCTAAATCTCCCAATAAAAAACGAGGAAATATATAGAGCAAAAATTTACACCGCCAATCTCTCCTTTACATTTCTGAATGATATTGTTTTTCAAAATTTCACGTACTATAATTAAAGAGTAAACAATCAACATTATCTGAATATTTTAAGTTCTATATAATTAATAGAAAATCCCATTAGTGAACAAAATTTTCTAGCAAGAATTGATATTTGATAAAACGAACTATACTTCAGACCTATACAAGTAAGATGTTCTCAAAACCAACAGGAGCATGATCAGATTTGGTAACTAGGCACTCATGATAAATATCGATCAATACATAAATCAAGTTACACAGCATTTGCAGAGGGGAATAGCTCACTCCATATCATAAAGACAAAGGGCATGCTCCTTCTCAATTTATCGCAGGAGCACACTTATATTACCATAATTACAAAGAAAGTATAATAATAAAAATAAAAAAAATCTTCCGGATTTAGAAGAACTATATATTTCTATTCACTGCATAAAGACTAAGAAGTTTAATAGCTGAAACCAACATGAGCAAGAAACGTCTCAAGATCCATCGGAGAAAAGTGCCCCATGTTCGGTAGATTTAATGAACTTTTTGAGCAAAAGGACCACAATAGCGATAGTGAGTCCGATAGCGGCCAATGTGAACAACCGATCATCAGGTTTCTGGACCCTTGTCTCTGGCTTGGGATTGTGAACCCTTGCAGGTGTATCTGACTTTTGGGGTAACACATTCTTTGAAGCATTTGATGGAATCTCCCTCGAAACTTCTACTCCAGCAAGGTTAGCATCTGCAGGGACTTCTTGTTGTTCTTCAACAATTTCATCACCTTCTTGATCCGGAATCCTCTCTCCAGCTGGTAAAGACTCAGGATTAGGTGAATCAACCAAGGCCTCAGCCTCCTCATTTCTGGGGTGCTCTTCGGAAGCTTCTATGGCGCCTGGTTGAGGAACTGGGGGTGCCTTGCATAGCATGTACTCGTGTATCTGGGATAACCACGTACAATCAGCAGCACAATATATTTACTATAGAAAACAAAATCTGAGGGGAAAACAATTAGCAACATTTACCTCATCGATCAGCTTTTGACGTTCAGGAGTGCCGAATTTAGGAGGAGCTTCACGAGATTTAACGGCTAGGGTACGCCTCTCTTCTTTCTTGTAGTCTAAAGATCCCAATGCACCATTTGGGTTGGTTGGCATGAATGCAATCAGTGCCACTAGAGCAGTCCTCACTGCCAAAAAGATATTTAAATCAATTAAAATGAGACCTTTGACCATCAAAGGAATTAATAGGGCTCAGCTTGTATTGTCATAAAGATAATGCATTTAAGATTTACGAAAATTCTCTTTATGGCTTATGCAGTCACCCAAACTTGGTTTAGAAAATTCAATCATGTTGTGCAGTTGTTTAACATGAAAAGGAGTGAAACAGACCACTCAGCGTTTTACTGTCATTCCTCTTCAGACAAGTATGTGTCTTATGATTTATGTTGATGATATTGTTATTACAGGCAATGATTGTACTAAGATCAGCCAACTGAAGAATCATCTGTTTGTTCACTTCCAAACCAAAGATCTTGGTCAATTGAAATATTTTCTTGGTATTGAAGTGGCCAGTCAAAGGAAGGTGTAATTATTTCTCAAAGGAAGTATGCTCTTGATATTCTGAAAGAGACTGGTCTAACAAATTATAAGTCCTTTGATACCCTAATGGACCCTAAGCAGAAATTTATGAAGGATGAAGGAGAAAAGTTGTCAGATCCAGAGAAATATAGGAGGTTGGTTGACAAACTCATTTATCTTACTATTAACATACCAGATCTTTCTTATCTAGTTGGAGTAGTTAGCCAATTCATGCAAAATCCTTATGTTAATCATTGGGATGCCTTGATTTGCATTTTGAGATATATTAAAGGGGCCCCAGGACTATGAAGATAAAGATAATACTCAAATTCTTGGTTATTGTGATGCAAACTGGGTTGATTGTCCAATTGATAGAAGATCGACTACTGGATATTGTATCTTTATTGGAGGAAATTTGATTTCTTGGAAGAGTAAAAAACAAAATATTGTTGCAGAAGCTAAGTATAGATCTATAGCACTTGCTACATGTGAACTTGTGTGGATCAAACAACTCCTTCAAGATTTAAAATTTTATGATATTGGGCAAATTTTGTGATATTGGACAAATGAAGTTATTTGTGTGATAATCAGATAAAACATATTGAAATTGATTGTCATTTTGTTAGAGAGAAATTATTGTCTAAGGAACTTGTAACTGAATTTGTAAGTTCCAATGAGGAACTGACAGATAATTTAACTAAATCCTTAAGAGGACCTAGGATTCAAGTCATTTGTTCCAAGTTTGGTACATATAATTTGTATGCTCCAGCTTGAGGGTGAGTACTGAGATTTGTTGTTTATGTATTTTTTAGTATTTTTTTTCCAATGTTCCTTAGACTAAGGTTAAGGATTTGGGCTGAGGCCCATATCCTCTCTATTGTACCCTTTTTTCTATAAATACAATATATCAGTGGCTTTGAATCAAATCCGAAATAAGTTTTCTCAAGTGTAGCTAATGCATTAAAGAATGATGAAAATAACAGAGATACATTCCCATCCCAATTCTACAAACTACAAAAGCACTAAAATGCAACTACCAAGTTTGATCATTGTTTTTCTGGTATTCCTTAACGTTTTACAAACCAATGTGATGATCTAAGACATGGGAATCGATACAGTGCCAACTTTTATCTAGAGAAAGTCAAGTTATGTCCCAAAGCATAGTATGCTCCTACCTGGAAGACAATAGTTATGGAAAATTATAAAGGACACAGTCAAACAAATCAGGTAGTTTTACGACTGCAGATCGACAACTAAATAGTTATAATCTTGTATAATCAGAATGGACAATACATGATATTTATGACCTGTATAATGAGAAAATGACGCATGAGCTCAATAGAAAGCTTGCAAAATAGTTAACCAAAAACAGAGTCGAAAGTAAAAAGGAATGTTATTTACCGCTCCATGATGGTTGCCAATGCTCAGGGTGATGATTTGAAATGCTCAAGCAAATCTTGGTTTGAGTCTCGAAACGACCATTAGGCTGACAGCAGAAAAGTTAAATTTTTAAGCAAATAGGAATTGAGCTTTCTTAGGTCTTCAACAATCCAAAGACAGTTCATGAAACAGAATCACAGAAAAGCATACTCAGATTGACATAAAAACGTAATAAGGAGGAAGGGAGCATCATCTTACTGTCAACAACATAAACGAAGGGGGTTTGAATGGATACTCTGAAGGCAGCTGGATCCGTCCATGATAAATACCACCCTCAAATTCAGTATCACGAGGCCCTCTAATCGCAAATTGCCACTCAAATATATTTTCCTGAAAACAATCGCAACACTGAGATTACTACTTCAACAAAAACAAAAGCAATACACAATAATCAAATTACGAGTTTCAAACCAGTAAAAAGTTGAGGATTATACAGACAAAAATAAGATAAGGCAAGTACAAACAACTCTTAGACATTTATCAAGTTGGGTGATCCAATCAGGTAAAATTAAATAACTATTAACACCCACATCCACGAGTTTGGGCGATACTCACCAGGGTTACAACAAGTCAAGACTCGAAGAATACTTATAGTCATAGATTATCCAACAATAATAACCAAGTTCACAAATTGACAACGGGATTTGAGCTTGCATATTTATACAATGTTAGAAAACAGGACGAACCTTTGCAAGCGAAATCCGGAAGATAATATGTTAAAAATTACACTTGATTCAGAATAACCCATAAAATGAAACCCTTGAACATAACTTTTGAATCCCCTGTATAAAATTTTCCAAAAAAATCACACCATAATGTTTAAAAAAACATGAATTGCCCCATTTAAACATCAAAGAAAGGAATTTCCGAAAACAAGCACAATCTCCCAACACCAACAAATTCACAATTTCTCGCGACGCACCACAACAAACCCCATTGACCCACACGCACAACAGCGCGATCTCACACAAATCCTTTGTCACAACACGGTTGCGCGTGTGGAAATGAAAGCATACAAGGCGCAGATGACGGAGATGATGAAAGGTGAAAGAAAGGAACCTCGAGAGGGAGGCTCATGAAATCGTCGGAGGGGTTGGAATGCATCTCCTTGACCTCCTGGAGGATCCGCTTGACGGCTGGGTTCTTGAGGTTGTACTTGTCGGCCATTGTAGGTGGTGAAAGCCAGGAGTGATTATGGTTGGGAATGGAAATTAAGATAAAAAATAAAAGTTGAGAAAATGGAGAAAGAGAGAGGAAAGGGAACAGGGGAAGTTGGTGCGGTTACCTTACCTTTCTCTGTCTGGTATTGACACGCTCTGTGTTACGTGTCCCTCCTCTATTCAACCCTTCCTTCCTTCCTTCCTCAAATTCTATATATTATAATATATGTAGTCTAAACATGTTCCTAGTAATTTCCTTATTCATTTTCAAGTTTAACTGAGATGAATTTAAAGAGGAGATAGTATATAAATTATATTTCGTGTTGACTCATAAACGACACTCGTATCATATTATTGTCCTTAATTGACAATTAAGAATATATATACAAGTAGAGTAAAACTTTATTTTTATCTTATCTTAATATTAATATTTAAAAAAAAAAGTATATTAGAATATATTCTAGTAGAAAACTAAGAAGTATATATAAAATAAAATAAAATTATTTTATAAATATATTTTTATTTTTATTTTTTCTTTCCTTAATTTTTTATTTATAATAAATTTCATAATTTTTTTTTTATTTTTAATTTTTTTTCTTTTTCCTCTTATTATTTTTAGATTTTTTTTCACCTTTTCATTTTTCCATTACAACTTTCTTTATTAGATATTCATTTTATCTCTTCACATTTCTATTTTTTATCATTAGTTAATTTTTATATTTTTCTCTTTTATATTTTCACCTTATAAAAATTGTAAATTTTTTTATAATTTTTTTTTTATCTTTTGTTTAAAAAGACATTTTTTTATATAATTTCATCTCTATAATATAAAATTGTATTTTTTATTATTTAGTTTTTAGTTTTTTTTCTTTTCAATAAGACACAAGGTAAAAACTTAAAAAATAAATGAGATATCTTGAATAATTTATTTTAAATAAAAAAAATAAACAAATTTATTTTGTTTTTGTTTATTATTTTAACAATTATTATAAAAACAGGCAACATTTATATAAATTTATTATGCGTTATAAATTAATTATTTATTTTAATGTTTTATGATATTTTATTTTGACGTTAAGACGTAATAAGCAAAATTGAGTTTTAAAGATTTCTACAAATAAAATGATAGATTTTTTTTAAAGAATAGAAAAAATAAACTTTATTTTTAAAATTTAAAGTTTTTTTTTATAATTTCATATATATAACCTAAAAATTGTATTTTTTTTATTCTTTAGTTTTTTATTCTTTTGTCTCCGGTTATATTTTTTTTCATAATTTCATAACATAAAAAGTATATTTTTTTATTCTTAAATAAGGAAGATATCTCAAATAGTTTTTCTTGTAATAAAAAAAAGTAAACAAATTTTTTTGTTTTGTTTTTGTTATTATTATAACAATTAATATGTATAGAGGAATATAAAAATATGGAATATTTATATAATTTTTTAATTAAAAAAGAGAACAGATTTAAATTTAAGTAATAATATTAAATATGTAATATATTTATATATGATAATTAATTTTTATAGATTGGTTTCAACCTCATATTCATTATGATAATTTTGTTAGTGTTAATTTTTATGTTCAAGATATTATTCATTTTAGAGTTCTTATCCACTAATGTTTTGTTCTTAAAATGCATTTTTGTGGATTAAGAAAAGATAATATATATAAATTATCATTAACTTCAACTTCTAAATGATGTGAGACTCATAAGTGTGTTGGATAATAGCCCCAGTTGAGGAAGATTAAGGGGTATGAATGAAGTGAAACTTTATTCTCGGCCTCACCTGAAGACCAATGCTCTGTTTAATGAGACGGAAACACTCTTGTTCATAGAAAAACATTAACACCTATGATTGTGTAAGAGTAGAATCTCGCTTCACTCATATATAACCCCTTAGTCCTCGATTGAGGACTATGTTCCAGTACACTTTTCAGTTCCACGTCACTTAGGAATCAAAACAAAAATATGTATCATTCTCTCCTAACCCATCAAGATATATATATTTTAAAACTAAAATCATAACAAACTAAAATTTAGACAACCTCACCCATCACACACACACATATATATATATATATATATATATATATATATATATATATATATATATATATATATATATATATATATAAAGTATAGGTTGGATGATTTCAATTTAGTTTTCTTTCCTTCGTAATTTTTATGTGAATTATTTTGCAAAAAAAGTTATGTAAATTGTAATAAGAGTTTAATAATATATTTTAAGAAAGTAAAAGAAAAACTATTCTCTTAGGATGTGTTAAACATGCATGTGTTTTATAAATACGTTTTTACGTATTGTTATGAAATTTGTTCTCTTTTTAATTTCTTAACTATCATTTTTTAGGAGTTTGATTATTATTAAAAAAATTATTTATTTTGAAAAAAAAAATATATATATATATATATATATATATATATATATTATTCTTTTAATTAGTTATTATAGTCTTAAATGATATGAATTAAAATTTTATTCACAAAAACTAAAATGAATTATAAAATATGTGCAGAGATCGTTAAACTAAATAATTTCTAATAATAAATATAGAAAACTATACAAATATAGAAATAAAATGATTGTTTAATGAAACTTAAATTAAATTACAACTGATTCTGGTTCCTCAAATTAAGTTACTTTAACTATTTTTTACGATTAAATAAATTTATTTTTTATTCACTTTAAATTTATTTTGAGAAGACTTTTTATATTTCTAATTAAAAAATATTGACTTGTTTTTGTATTATTTGTTATTTTCAAAAAGTGTATAATAAGTAATGAAAATTAAAATAGAGAACAACAATATATTGAATCACTTTTTATATAATATTTTGAAAATAAGAAATAAATTAACAACAAAAGAGGTATATTTTAATGTTAGAATAAATCATGTTCACTAGTAGGTTTTCTATTAATGATTTTCCCTCAAATAAGGATTTTTTTTCCGGTACAAATCAACTTTTTAAGCTGGGGTTTTAAATGAGAAGGCTAAATTATTATTTTTATTTATAATTTTTTATATTTTTACAATTTAATATATATTTTTTACATTTGAACGTTAATATATAGAATATCATAAAATATTAAAATAAGTTGATGATAAATAATACACATTGATTATAACAGTAAATAAAAGAATTTTAATTTGATTTTTTTTTTGCTTAAAACGGTAGAAAAAAATGTGAAAATTTTATAATTTTTATGTTATAATGAAAATCTTTGAAATAGAAAAATATAAAATAAAAAAGTAATAAAAAAAGTAAAATTAAAAATAAAAACGTGAGAAATGAAAAAAAAAAGTAAAGAAAAAAATATAAAAATATAAAATAAAAGGTAAAATAGAAAATGATGTAACAGAAAAATTATATAAGAGAATAAAAATTATATGTATTATAATTATTATTAATATTTTATATGAAAGATATATTTTTATTTTGATTATTAATATACAGTTGGAGAAAAAAATTATTTTAGGTCTTACAAGTAACACATCAAAATTTGAATAAATAACTCCTTGAAATGTATATCATGATGTCAAAGAGTATAAAAGTTAACTCTGTAAAATTTATTTTGATCATCCTCCACCATTCCATGATTTTATTCAATAACTTTTTAACTCTTAATTAGTGTATGAAGTATGAATTATTTTTAAAAAATAGTCATTAATTTTTAAAGTCTCTCTAATGAAACTGGATAATGCATTAATACACTTACTTAAATTATGAATTGATAAATATAAGTATAATTAAAAACAAAATATTAAGATTTTTGTTAGTTTTTTTAACTTTCCTAAACTTATAACTGTTTTAAATTATGTCACTAAAATTTGGGTTTGTTTGTTTTTTTTTGGGTGGGTTTACCCACTAGAGTTTTTAAAAACAACTCAGTAATTATGGCTCTGGTTTAATAATTTAGCAGATTTAAACTGCTAGAGAATTTTCAATGTAATATAATTCACCATCCAAAGATCTCATTAACCTAGATTCATAATATTATCATATTCATGTTTAAAACATTTGACATCGTTATCTCCTATTTTTGTAGTCATAAAACACTTTTAAGACGTGTTCATCTCTGTTTATAAAGGTGTCTCCGTGGATGGAAAACTGTAAAAAAACTAAAGAATGTGATTAGAGTGAATGTGAATTCATCTTCTAAACGAGATCTTAAATTATGTGAATGTAAAAACATTATAAAAAAGACTGTATAAAAAATAGCCAAATCAGTTTCCAGCAGAATTAATAACTCACCTGTTAACAATCAGATATCCAAAAACTTTCAATGAGACAAAAGAAGTTTAATTTTCTAAGTGGACGAAGTTTATATAGGAAAAGAAAACGATGATTAACATGTTAACAAAACCAGTTTTATTATCCAACAACAATAATTTTGTAGTGGTAATACATTTCTTAATGCAGTCATATTGCAACATTACATCATATGTTAGGACATGACACAAATTAAGGAGTCACCATGTTCCCATCAAGCTTGATCCTCAACGGTCAGTTCCTCAATAACATTCCCATGGTTGAAGGGATTAAATCCTTCAACTCCAGAACATTTGCTAGCCAGAACTGCTGAATAAGCCCCTTGATTCACCACATGCTTGCGTGTCACAATAACTGAGTTAATAACCTCATCAGTGGGGTGAAAAACTGAGAGAACTTCAAAACCTTTGAGGTCAGAAGAAGGATCAACCACCGGGTAGAGGAAGGCTCTAGCACCATGTGCACTCCTCAACAACAAAATAGCTCCTGGTGCCATGAACTTGGCTAAGTGGTTGATGACTTGTGCTTTCTCCTTATTGTCCATGCCCACAAGTGCTGCCAAGAAGACCACGTCATAGTCCCTGAGGCCATTTGACACGTTTAGAATGTCACTAGTGTGGAAGAACATTCTCTTTGACAAGTCAGGGTCCGATGAGACCAAGCCACGAGCCTTGGCATTTGCCAAGGGATCTATGTCGTAGTTATGGAAGCATGTGTGCCGGAGGTAATGGGTGGCCAACATGATTGAGGTTAGAGGAAGGGGACCTGAGCCCACAAAGGCAAGATGGGAGGGAACTTGGGTGCAGTGTGTGGTGAGCATGGTGAACTCCAAGTGGCTTAGTTTGAGGTAATTGGAGTAGTAGGGGAAGAGTTTCAAGTGGTTTAAAGGGTTCTCATGTGATCCTATCAGGGTTGAGTAGTGGTTCTCAAGAAGCCCCTCAGCTTTCCCACAAAGTCTAATTAGCTTTGCTATGGTTTCTCTAACCTGTTGGCCCAGCTGAGAAACATCTATTTGGCATGGGGTGATGCAAATGGTCACAAGTTGGGTGAAGAGTTCGTTGACATGGCTGGAGGGTTTGAGGTCTGCTAGTTTGGAGATTTTCTCATAGATTTCACATACCTTTCCTACAACCATCACTTCCTGCTGGTTCTCCATTCTTGTATGATTGGTTAACCAACTTGCACAAATGAATGATCACAAGGACTTTTGCTAGCTCCTCCTCACCTTGAATTCCAGTTTCACAACACCCTTCAATGCTAATTTATAAGTGCACCCCAAGACTGTGTTCTGTTCAGGCTTTAGAGGCTATTATATACCATTGCTTGATGACCACATTTGTTGCAACTTGATGTAAGAGCCCTATTTGCAGTTTATCTCTTAATTAAATAATGCTCAAGTGCATGAGCCAGTGCGGCACTACATTCAAGACAAAGTCACCTAAAAGCTACTCTTCTATGGAGCATCCGAAAGGGAAAAGACAAAATCACTGTTCTATACGTCAAAAATCGTTTGAAATGAAGGCATAGATAAGCGATTGACGATGGACTAACGTGTAGGATTCAGGAAAGACCTGTGGTTCTTCCCAAGTTGTGCGTTATGACACCCACATGCATTCTCATATCAGCTCCATCACTAATGGTGTAAATAACGATAGGGAGCCCCGGGACATAGATATGGCAACATTCTGCAACATCTTTACAAATCAAATGTTGCAGAACATTTTATATCACACAGAGGTCATTCAGATATATTTTATTGGCATTATATTAGTAGGCATATACCTCAGTGTCCGTAATTCATTTGGGTTCATGATCCAATAACCAATTGAGCAAGAGTGGAACCAAACCATTTTAAAACAACAAAAGTACACAGAAGCATGCACATATCTATTTTTTCTCACTTTTGTTTTCATTTGTCTGCACTGAGATTTGTGTCTACCCCTGAAAGAAAGTAAAAGCATATAAGACCAACAAAACAATAATCTAATGAAAGAGAACAACGCACTTCAAATATCAGCCTGGGAAAATGGCATAAAATATTTATAGATCCAAAAAATAAATGAAAAACACTAATGTTTCATAAGATTGTTGATTTTATGAGTACAGTATGTCGACATTGTGTGCATATTTTGTTAATTATTGGCAGTGTAGTGCGCTATGCTTTACTCTGCTTCTTACACCTGCGCATTACTCATATTTACATCATCCTCAAAATCTAACTAAAAGAATGAAGCCAATAACTTTATCATCTTCAAACATCAATTATTTTATTTCAGTATAGCAAAAAGTTACGGCTGTGATGAATGATGTGCATCATTTAATTTAATTTAATTATCCTAAAATTATTGGCAACGTAAACTGAAATAATTCTTTATATAAATTTTAATTATGAACCAACAAATTTGCAAAATTAAAAATATAAAAATATTCGAAATTTAATTTTTATTTATTACTAAAATTTAAATTGATGAAAAGTACATAACATAAAATAAATATATAAAATTATTTTTTGTTACTCTTATTTTTAAATATATTCTAACAAGTTGTTTGAAATTCTAGTTAAATTTATCTTTCATAAATATAAACTATTTTTTTGGGTACGTATGTAGTAAACTACTTTTAAATTATTATAATCAAAATCATCATTATATGCATGTTGTTTATCTTCAACAATTATGAATGAAAATACATTCTAATATCATATGCTTCATTGTTTCTATCTACAATCACAAATTTTATTATACGTGATAGATTATATATAATTACAAATAAAGTTTGAACACACCAAATACTCGTCTACGTAATTTCTTAACGAAATTTGACATTAATGGATCAATGTTGAGCCTCACCTGATACCAATTATCTTGTAGAATCAGGGTTTTAGTCTTTATTTTCTATCAAAAAAATTGTTAATTGGCGTTTAACGATGTGCTAAGAAATTGCTTCAAATGTGTTGTTACTATGTGTTCTTGTGCATGAAGTTGAGTTTTGAAATTGATTTCTTTTTTTTTTCTTTTATAAAACTTTGTTGTGATATAGTTATTTTTTTTAAAGCCACCATTTTACAATGACAATATATACATTTAAAAAGATTATTTAAAAAAAAACACACACACAGTTTAATACTTGTAATATGGAATTAATTTCTTTAAATACCAACCAATACAAAATTAATGCTCACCAAAACTAACTTGTTTCAAAACTCATGCTATATTTTTTTCAATTCATCATCTCTTAACATTTCAATTATAAAAACACAAATAAAAAAAAAACTTATATTATAAATGGTTTCATATTCTAAGATTTGTTCAAACAAGATCTTGATAAAAAAAAAAACTACATTCATGTATAAACAAAATAATAAACAATGAAAATAGTTTTCAATAGAACCAACAAAATTAATCTTAAAACGGAGTGTGTGATTCATCATTATTGTGTATATCAAAAAAGAATTCACGATTCATACTATTTTTTATTTTATGAAATTTAAGTTCAATATTCATTTCACCACCAGTATCTTTTTTGTTGGAATTCAAAGCAAATATATAATACATTCTTTTTTCAATGACTTTTCTAATGAGTAATAAATAATTTTAAATATTTTACCGCAAAATTTATACATATTTTTAAAAAGTATAATCTAATTAAAAATATATATAACAAAATGTATGGCCTAGTAATTAAAATGAAAAAAAAAAGTAGCCTGAGATGATTTGGGCCTTGGGTTGCTGCCTCTGCCACGGCCCACGGCCCACAGCCCTTAATGTTTATATAACTTGAGAAAACTCATTTATCTAACTTTTGTTCCATCACCAATCGGACATCAAAACCATAAAATTTGAAGTTAAAGGCAATAAGGCATGGTTAGTAAGAAAAGGTGTTCTTAATAGGGATTCGAATTTGGCTGGTCCCGCTTTTGGTTTATCAAAAACGGGGTCAAACAGATTGATTCATTTGACGAACTGTAGATTGATCTACCATGTTTAAAAAAAAAATTATTATTTTTAAAATCAAAATTTTTAATAATAAAATTATCATTTATTTATTAATAATTAATATATATATATATATATATTAAGTTAATAATATAAATCAACATATTATTTCAAGAAATTATAATTTAGAACAATAATAAAATTTATGTAATAATAAATAATAATCTCAAAACTGATAAAATTTATATATTTTATATTAAAAAATTAAAATATGAAACTTTACATTATTTTTATCAAGTAATTCTAATTACACCTTTAATTCAAGTCAAAATGATAAAAATAATCAAAGAAGAGATGATAAGTATTAAAAAAAGAGGAAAGAGGAACTTGTGTTTGAATAAGGAAAATGTTTTCTATAACGAGTGAGAGTGTAACTTTTTTAATTTTTTTTTACAATTTTTAACTTTATATTAAACATATTATAATACAAGAATTATTTTTTATTAATTAGGTAGGTCGTAGGTTGATCCTGTCTATCTCCCAAGTTGATGGACTGAAAACATCAACTCATCCTATTATATTATAGCGGACTAGCGGTCCAATTCGTCGTGACCCGTTTTACCAACTTAATTATTAAGTAGTTGTTATTTTTAATTTTATAAAATTAATAATAAACATTTTATTACAATTTTCTTTAGGTACATAACAGATAATAGAAAAGGTGTATTAACAACATTTTTTAATAAGAAATTTTCATTTTTTATTTTTAACAATTAGTTAGCATTAATGATAAACAACACAAGGACGATCAATAACCATTTATCGAGTTTTGCAAAATATAATAAAGTAAAATAATAAACTTCTAAAAAAATACATATTTCATTATAATCTCTTTTTTCTATAAATATAAGAGACAATCCTATCACTTTTAGCTCCGACACAATCCTTGAAATAATCATTTTTTATTCATTAAATAACATCAGACGGAGGCAAAGTTGCCATGATTAAATACAAAAAACATGGACCTTCTTAATCATTACAAAAGATTGTGAGATGATTCACATGGTTGAGTTCCTAGTCGTGAACTATATCTTATATTTTATTTGTCGTTTTCTTTTGTATTTTTGTTGTGCAATAATTGCTTGTTTTCATTTTTTATTTACTTAGCGAATTACTTTATTTTGTTTAATATTTTAATTCTTATTTTCAGCAATTCTCTTAAAAAAATCTCTCTCTCTCTCTCTCTCTCGATATATATATATATATATATATATATATATATATATATATATATATATATAAATATAATGAGAAAAGATAAAAAGAAAAACACCTAATTTATTGAAATTTAATTAATTTGACAGGCATTCGGTATGCAGGCCACCTCGATGACATCGGGAAATTATGGTGACAACATTAATGTTAACCGTAGTGGACGGATTTAGCATCAGAACTGGTCAATTTTGTATAAAAATAATCAGAAACCATATGCTTAATTACTTTATCAATAAGGATTAAGACCTGTGAGAAGGATTAATAATCTACCCTTGTTATATAGAGAATTAGTTACCCAGGAAACCCAGTTTGAATCTGATAATAATACTGAAGCAAAATTAGTGACGGTTTGTGATGGAAGACTTGTACCATGTTAGTTTCAGTACAGTTGATGAAAATTCTAGTTCATTGAGTGATATATTCTGGGGCACCGAGGAACTGAGTGAAGTAAACAAGGTAAAATTTTCTAGATCAGAAGATCATGGGGTGTCTCGGGGAGAAGACTACTCTAACTTTGAGTTCTTCCCAGATTATTCATCAGAAGAAGGATACCTTTTGTCCACTAATCGAGAAAAGTATCACCAGCAACAATCATACCATGGTTATGGGCAACTGGATGATAGCCTTCTCTTTGACACGGTCTCTCCACGACTCCAATTTGATGCACAATATCCAGCCATGGTTCCATTGCGTGACACAACAAAGTACAAGCCACGCTCAACCACCCCTTTAGCCTCACTTGAGATCTTGAAGAACTATGGCAAGGGCTTCAAGAGGTTATCCAATGAAGGCAAATCCCAGCAGCCAGTAGTTGATGTGGCTGTGGCCACAAATGAAGTTGTTTCGGGAAAGCTTTCAACTGAAGATGTCATGAGGATAGCAGGAACAAGGTTCATCCAATCATCATCTTCAGAGTCAGAACCTTTGCCTTTCTTGGAAACTCATCCTCATGGTTCTTTTTTCTCTGGACTCTCTGATGAGGAGAAAGAGGATGTGGCACTTGCTGAGTCCCTCTTGGCTTCTGCTGAGAAAGTTGGTCATCAACAATTTGAACGTGGAAGCAAGTTGCTAAGTCATTGCGAATCATTGTCAAGCAAAACTGGGAGCCCCGTTAAGAGAATTGTTCATTGTTTTGCTGAAGCACTTCGCCACAGGATAGATAAAGAAACGGGAAGAGGTTCATCCAAGGATTTGCAAAAGGGTCAGTCATTTGATCCTGAAGAGGCAGCCAAGGAACTAAGCCCCACTATTGTTGCATTTTATGAAGAGCTTCCCTTTTGTCAAATTTCAGTGTTCACTGCAGTTCAAGCTATAATAGAAGACGTAGCTGAAGTAAAGAAGATTCATGTTATTGATCTTGAAATAAGAAAGGGGGGCCAATGGACTATCTTAATGCAAGCTCTTCAGTCAAGACATGGATGTCCAATCGAGCTTCTAAAGATAACCGCTATTGAAAGTGGAACCTCAAGACACATAGTAGAGGACACTGGTAAGAGATTGAAGGATTTTGCTCAAGGTTTGAACATTCCCTTCTCTTTCAACATTATTATGGTATCAGACCTATTACATCTCAGAGAAGCTCTTTTCGACATTGACCCTGAGGAAACAATTGCTGTTTATTCTGAGTTTGCACTTAGATCAAAGATTCAACAATCGGACCGGCTTGAAACCATCATGAGAGTGATTAGAACCTTGAATCCTAATGTGATGGTGGTAGCTGAAATTGAGGCAAACCACAACTCAATATCTTTTGTAAACCGTTTCATTGAGGCTCTTTTCTTCTTCAGTGCATTCTTTGATTGTCTTGAGGCTTGCATGAAGGGGAATGAGATGAACCGAATGATTATAGAATCAATATACTTCAGTCATGGTATCAGGAACATTGTGGCCACAGAAGGAGCAGAAAGAAAGACTAGGAATGTGAAGATTGATGTGTGGAGGGCCTTCTTCTCCCGCTTTGGAATGGTGGAGAAAGAACTGAGCACTTTGTCTTTATACCAAGCACAATTAATGAGTAAGAGATTTCCTTGTGGAAGTTTTTGCACATTTGATAAGAATGGGCAGTGCCTTCTTGTTGGGTGGAAAGGAACACCAATTATTTCTGTTTCTGTCTGGAAATTCCTTTGATGGGTAGTGCCACAAGGTTTTTAACACTGATCCATGACTGTGATTTTGGCAACATCAAGAAGTTTTGGCTACCACAATCTAAACTCTTCTTACTAGGAAAGATTTATAGTTTAATATTATCCTAAATCAATATCTGTACCATCCCATGTGCAGATTTCATTACTAGTTAACACCCGGTAATGGTATTCACATGTGTTTACTATGGGGTATTTTCTATTAATAACATGTTTGAATATCATAAAATTCAATTGATGACATAAATCTATATATAAATATACGTATGAAAAGGCAATCAACAAAGTGGCTGTAGTTTAGTGGTGAGAATTCCACGTTGTGGCCGTGGAGACCTGGGCTCGAATCCCAGCAGCCACAAAAAATTAACATTTTTTTGGGTACTTTATAAATCTGACTCCTTTTTTCTTTATATTATATATTATAATTTTTATTGTATTGATTAAATAACACAAATATATAATAGGATTGTGAAATTATTTAATTAATTAAAACTTTAAAAATACTAATATAACAATATTAAAAATTTCTCAAATTTAATGGATTAAGGGGCCATTATGGATCCTTTTTTTGGTAGAGAGAGCGAGTAAGATTCTGGACCCTTAAGCAAACTAAACGAGAAATACCCTATTTTGCCATTCCACTATTTTAAACTTTTAATTGCAAAATGAGATATTGATAATATTTTTTCAGCAGAAACTTACAGGGTAGAAAATTTTCAAATTTCAATATGTTTTCAGAAGTAAGAATGTGTATGGGATTAAATGCCAGAGAGAGAAAATGAAGTAGAGATTAGTGATTATAAGTAAAAAATTTAGTTAATCTCTATTTATCCAAATATTAACGTGAGAGAGGAATCTTACAGGGTATGTAGCCTTTGATTCTTCAAAATCCTTTGAAGTCAATCATGGATGGCTGGTAGTCATAGATGCGACTCCAGGAATCCATCCCTATTGCGTGTCCACTCTATATTTTCACAACTTTTATACCTAATTCTGCGTGAGGGAAAACATATAGATAAAATTTTCAGAAAAAAAAAACAGATAAAAATAAATAAAAATACAGAAAAAATGTCAAATATAACATATAATATAATAGGAAATGAGGAGAGTTAAAAAAAAAATACAAATGCCAATAATTCCTACGGAAAAAAAAAATCCAAGTAAGTTGTTGTAATATTAAAAACAATTAATCTTTCAAGAATAAAAAATATCATTTCCTCAACTTGAAGAATAAAGTACACACGTATCCTCATGATTATATTCTTTTATAATATCAATTTTATTTTTCTTTATCACATTATTGACTAATTTTATACTTTTTTTCTGACTTTTTGTCGTTGTACAGAATTATAACACATAAATATGATTTTTAAGGAAAAAAAATAAGGGAAGAAATTAATAATAAATACAATGTAGGTGTAAAATGAAAGAAAAAGACAGGGTGTGAAGAAATCTTGTATAAATATGTTGACGAATATTTTTTCCATAAACAACGCTCAATTTCGATAAAATATCTTTCATATTATATTATTTTATTTACATTTTATTGAAGAAAATGTTAACATGTGTCTTGCTGCATCGTTTTGTACTTATTAAAAACGTTGAACTAATTATAAAACTCCACATACATTGGAGAATGAAAAATATCGAAAAAGATGATGAAGAATAGTGTACGAATTTATTCGGTAGATTATATTATTTGGAAATGTTCGAAGCTTCGTTGTGAAGCTCAAATAATGCACACAACAAGGATATATTCTTTCTCCACTGCATCTATAAAAGCAGATATTTGATAAGCTTTGTGATGGCATAACAACCTGAGTGAGAACGACGCAGAGAAATTAAACCACTCACATATATATAAATATACAAAGCATCAACCATACACAAATAACATATCTTCGCTAGCTCCAACAGAAATGGAAGAATCGAAGGGTTTTGTTGGTGGTGAAGGTAAAAAAACTCATCCAAAATTGCCATCTAGTTCCTTTCCAATTCCTTTGCCAGGAAGGAATCGCCAGGCTTCAAGATTTACCTACCCTTGGGCCCAAAGGACACTCAAAAGCAACACTGTGGACAAAGGTAATGGAGCAACTGAGAAACCAACTTTGAAGGTCTAAGTCACTCATGCATGGAGTAATATTCTACATGTTTCAAGATATGTGAAAGTTAACGTAAGAATACTTAATTGTTTACGTCGTTGTTGTCCTTTGCTCCTCGTATATTGTCGTACGTGCACTGTACATGCTTTGAAAATAAGAGCATTACTAACTAATAATATCTTACGTAGTTTTATCGTAGATGAGTTATGTATTTTGAGTGTTACATCTTTGTACTTTTCTGGTGCCATAGATGTTAATTATGTTCTGTTCATGGATGGATCGTGTTCATAAGATGATAAACTTTTAATTAAGAAAGATTTTACACCTACTCAGTGCAAACACCTCGTTGATGCTTTTAGCATAAGTATCTCTGATAAAAAATAGATGTAATACACGAAATAATTATAATTTTGTGTCATGTATTTACATTATTCTACTATTTCTTTCCACATTATAGTTGGAAGATATAGAAAAATCTCTGTTCTTTATTTAAGTAATAGTAAATCATAATATATAAAAATGTGGAAGATATAGAAAAATCTGTATTCTTTATTTAAGTAATAATAAATCATAAAATATCAAAAAAATCATCAGGAAAAATTTAAATAAAAGCAACATTAATCATTATTGCCTAATATATTATTGGATTGATGAATTTGCAATAGTAATGAGAGAAAACGCTCCTAAAATTATTCACTTATCTAAACAACTTGATTTGTGTTTTTAATTAAAAAAAAAAAACTCATTTTATATTTTAGAATCTTTATAGAACTGTATTTAATATCATTTTAAGTAGACAATATGTCTTTCTCAAAAAATAAAGTGACATGTTCAAAATAAAATGATTAAACTTTTTAAACTAATAACTATTTTTTAATTGCTTAATTAATTTTAATCGAATATTCATTAATAAAACAGTTTTTAAACGTGTAAATTACTCGGTTTTTAATATTAGTATTTAAGCATGAAGGAGCTCGTCCCAAATAATTCAGAGCTATAATTATTGTAGACAATTTAATTAGTTTTCGTTCTAAAAGAGATTTTAAAATTAAGTAATTCGTTTTCAAATGCTAATGATTAGTTAAAGGAAATAATTCTTGCGCAAAAAGGTTAATTAAACTACCAGTTTATTGCAGGATAGTTCCCAAAAAACATGATCTTTGAAACCGAGTTTGAAAATTTTGCAAGTACATCAATCAAAAGTGTAATGAATGATTTATTAACACGCGTAAACAGTTTATAAATGTTATTAGGATATAGATAGATAAGAGGAATAACATCTTTACGTTAATTTGGGTTGAAGCTAGTTTCCTTTAGACACGGATGGCTGATGTAACTAAACCTGTATCTTTGAGTTTTCGTTCTTGTGATCTAGCAGGGTGTACTTTTATTTCATTCATCTAACTTCTTTTAGTTGTATTTGGGTTGAAGTACCTCTTTGTACTTCTATTAATTTTATTCTTTGTTGCCGATAATAAAAAAAATAAAAAATAGTTACGTTAATTTCTATATTAAAGTATTATTCACTACAAAATTTTAATTTGTCACGATTTTATCTTTAAAAAATATATTAAAAAATTAAAAAATAATATATAAATTATACTTAATCATAATTTTTAAACGACGTAAGTTTCATTATATAAAAAACATTCTTATAAATTTTATTTTTAAAAAATATATTAAAATATTAGAAAAAAATAATATATATAAATTATCTTTATCGAAGAAAGATATATAAAATACGAATACATTCTTATAAATGTCACCTTATTTTTAAGATTAAGGATATATTATATACAATTTTTTTTAATTCATCGAAATATTTTAAAAAAATAAAATTATGATAAAATAAAGTTTAAACCTACCATCTTTAAATATAAAAATCGATTCTAACTATATTATCGTCATAGTCATGAATGAAATTTGGATATGATTAGACGAAATGATATCCATTTTTATTCTCCGATGTAATAAAGTTTGCATATTCTTTCCTGGAGAAGTTTATGTATGATACAAGCTAAACCATTCCAAGATTCATTCATATCTTCCATAAAACGACTAGTCAAAACACGTCACAGAACTTTGATATCATTGTGTAAGCAAACCCACTTCACATTATACTATCATATCAATTGTTGCCACGTAAACCACAGATACACCATATATTGACAAAATGCTATAGGAAGATATATATATATATATATATATATATATATATATATATATATATATATATATATATATATATATATATATATATATATATATATATATATATATATATAAATCAAATCATGCTTCAATAATGTTCTTGCTTTTTAATATTCACCCACATGCATATATATACGATTAATCTTGCTATAAATAAGGCCCTACTTTTGATTCGAGAACCTAATACGATTTGAACCAAAAAGTTGAACCCATGCCACTACAACATAAAGGAACATTTCTAAATGAAACTAAATTATTAAACTTTTTTTCTTCTTAATTTTAACCAAAAAGTATAAAAATTCATATCAATGAAAGATTTTATCATTTCACATATCAGTAATTATATTTGAAAAATATTTTCAATTGCGTCTTTTGTAACATTTTATAATTATTATTAATTTATCTTCATATATAACAGTAATTTACTTTTGCAACGTATTAAAAGACTTGTTAATTTATTTCCCTAGAATACAAGCAACAGTCTTAAGATTCCTTCAAAGACAAGTCCTGTCCAAGAACAAATTCATCATAAAAGAAATTATATCCTACGAAAAAGTAAGAATGCCTAACTTATAATATCAAAATAGAATAGTTATGGTGATAATAAAAAATGGAGGAAGTTGAATATTATTATTTTTTATTGTAAAAATTGAATAACTAGATTTTTAATACGTTTCAAATGAGTTTTCTATTTTAGCTTTTCAAATTCGTTATCTCTAATATTTTGATTAAAATATTTGCTTAAACAAAATATATCTAAACTAAAATAAATATATGATAAATCTAAACTAACAAATATCTATTTAAACAAAATATCTAAACTAACCTAATATTTAACATTTAATTTTATCAACATAAGATAATTAGAAAATTTAATGTAAGCAAAAGGTTTAGAAAACAGAGAATATTAAAAGACGCATTTTACAGGTTCTCATATCAGATCAAGTTAAAAAAAAACTTATAACTTCTTAGAGATAATATTGGAGTTTTTCTCAATATGACCTAAAAAATCTTTAGTTTTTGGTACAGAAATCAACCTATTTCAAACCCAAAAAATATGACCTAAAAATATTTTCAAGGCACTTATATAATGGGATAACTGATAGCGAGATCTACTATTTTGAATCATAAACCCTTAACATATAGATATATTACACACACACACACACACACTGGTCCGTTATTTAATTAAATCAATATATGTTAGAACTTCACCAAAATGTCACATGTAACATCCTAAAAGATGCTATCCTAATTTTACCTATGTTTCTTGAAAGATACATAAAAGCAAACTACAAGTCCCATCCATAGGGAGATAATAACATGCATACATAGACTAGTCTTTGTCCATGCAGTATCTATATTTTTTTTTACTCAAGTTTTCTCTCGTATTCATGAGAGCTTTTTGAAATCTATTTGTAATAATCTTCTTCAAAGAGGTCATTTTGACATACTAGAAATCTTATGACAAAGAACTTGTTCCTTGCATTTCAGAAAATACATTGTTATTATCATTTTTATTTACTTATTTGTCATTTGAAAGTTGACATAGGTGATACTTTCATTGTCCTTTCTTTTCGCATTTTTTATGCAGGATTGTGAGAAAACAACAAATTATATACATAAATGTTTTGTATTTAAGAATGACTACAATTACACTTTGTCTAATCACAAGACAATGACTTAGTTTGTTACGCGTCTGATTGCAAAATCTTTTATAGAAACATTGTACTTAAATTATTTTAGTCAAATATAATGCTTAGCTAGTTAGATAATTCTTTGTTGAATATAAACAAGTGAGGGTACTACTTGTGCCTATCCATTTTCTTAAAATTAAAACGGATCCTTCATAAATAATACTTGAGTATATTATTCTTTCAATCAAATATATAATTATTCAGTTATGCGTTAAATATATAAAATAATTGATAATTGGAATTGATTATACCTTTTCAAATTTTGGTATGATCTCTCTAAATTGAAAGTTATGTAAACATTGAAATTTTTTTTTCACAGATATACTATTTATATACTGACTTGAATATTTATATACTCACTTGAGCTTTCAAATTTCAATTCCATTGTTTCATCAATCTCAAGAGTTTGACTTGCATTGTCTCATTAATCTCAAGAATTTGATTCCAGATTTCCATAATTTGTTTCAGATCCCCTTTACTCCATTGTATTTGACACCAGAATAAGATTTTCATTTATACAAGTCTTATATAATATGGCCATTTCTTTTCGACAAGAACACTACTAATTGTTTGTCCCAATTATCATTTCCTTGAAAACATATTCTTTTTCTTTATAAGAGTTCCTTTCCTTAGGGAATATCCATTTTCTTAGGCATCCTTATTACATTTTAAGTGTCTTATGTCATTTTATTAATTAGGGTTCATCACCTAATTTAACACCAATAACAATAAAAACCAAGGAAGTTACAAGCATAGGAGGAAATACACAGACACAACACAATATCAAACAGAATGTTTCTGGTAAGGGTTACAAACAAGTAAATTAACTTTTATATGATATAAACTTAATAAACTTACTATTCATAAAATTTGTCTGAGTAATTAGCAATGTAACAAGTTATTTAACCATCGTAAATAGAAAAGTTAAAAATGCTAAAATATTTTCACAAGCATCTATTCTTTGAACCAATCATGAAACTAATCCTTAAGTTAAAATCTAATGTATTTAGTTGCATGTAAAATTTCTTTCAGCTCAGGAAGAATATGTTCTGCAGGAAAAGAAGTCCGATTCTCACACAAGCTCTAAAAATACTTCCACGCTGCATATTTTATTCGTTCAAGATAATATTATAATAAACTATTTTACCAACGGTGTAAATTAAAAAAAAAAAGAAAAAAGTAATATCATAGCTTATTGTTGAAGCAAAGAGCATCCGTAAGGAAGCATGTTAACTATAAAGTGTATTCCATCTTTTCTCTGAAGAGCATAAAACACAGGCAAGTTCAGTGAAGGAGCATAGAGCCATACACTTCCTAATCAACCATGGCAGATTCACTAGCGCGGTTGATGCGGCTCTTGGATCAGATGGAGGAGGGTGAAGCACCACCACCACCACCACCACCCCGACGCAACCGCAACAACAGGTCTCGTGCTCCTCCCTATAACAACGTCCGATCATCTAACCACTCACCACCTCCCCAATTGAACAACAGTGGTACACAGAACATGAAAGGTCTCATCAACAACACTGGCTATGTTGAGGGTAACGGCAACGGATCCATCGTCTTGGGTGGTTTTGACTCCTCAACAAAGAATTACTACTAATTCCCCATCTTAATAGTATATATTATCTGTAGTATTATGTTGTGCCACTCAGATGAAATAACTGGGACAATAGCTCTAATCATGTTTATGAATGAATACCTCTAAAGACTGCAATAATAATATTGTGACCTCAATTTGTGTATCAGATTATAATTTATAACCATGACTCTAATAAATGTCTGCAATTTACCACTCCAGTTGCTAGTGCTTCTTTTATTAATGATGTAAATTATTATCTATTACTGCTGCATAAAATATTTCTCTTCTGATTCTGTAATCAGCCTGCAAGTTTTTTATCAGGTGATATTGTACGTAAGATGTTTTTCATTCAAGTTTTGTAAACAAAAAATACGTAATTGAATGAGGTTTTGAATAAAATTCAGTTAAATTGATAAATATCAACAAACCCTTATAAAATGAAACATTAGGTATGGTACTTGAATAGGATGACACGATTTGCTTCAACAGGATTTGGCAATGAAGAAGAATTTTGTGAGGTTTCAGCAGAAGAGGGATTTTGTGAGGGTTTACGAAAAGGACTTTCGTGAGTTTGAGAGAACTCGAAATGGGTCATTTCATTTTTAATCTATAATAAAGAAAGCTTCTAAAATTGAGAGAATTAAGAATACTAGTGAGTGAGTGATGTAGCCAAAACCAAAACATTTTTGTTATTTGACCAATATTGAAGAGAAGCAAGCCCAACATAAATAAATGAGATAGAAACTAATGTGATAACAACTAATTAGAAAATAAAAATCATGTTTCTAATCCTCCAATTTACCAACAAAAATAACTTTATCATTTCATCTCCCAACCGTTGATAATTGTAATAACACAGAATCTCTTTCATGAACTTTTGTTCTTTTATGATTTATTATCCAACATTTGGAGGGATAAACAAACAAAAAAAGTCTAATCAAAATGTTACCGTGTTATACACTTTAAAAGTGTTGATTCAAATGCTCTTGAATTTTCGCCAAAGAAAGTTTATACCGACCAAAGTAAATTCCACGATAAAATCTAGTTATTTGAAATTTATTAGTCAAGGGTTCAATATGTAGTCCAAGTTTTGATGTGGATATTAAGAAAGAGAGATAAAAAAAAAATAAAAAAAATAATGGGATGAAAAGTAATAGAGACTAATAATATCCTTCCATCCAAAATGTGATAAATAAGAGATTCAAGAAGAAAATAGGAAAGATAGAGAAAATTTTGGTATATATAATATATAGTGTATGGAAAAGAAAGTAAAAAAATGAATAAATACTTTAAGTATTATTGACAGAAAATATAAAGGAAAATAACGAAACAATAAATGCATGATTATAATTACACTTCCTAGGGTATTTTAATTTTAATGGTACGGGGAACTTTTTTAATAAACTAATAAATGATGTTACTAGGAAGTCATATTCGTAATTGTAATTATCTTATGACTAATTTAAATAGATAATATGACTTATTAATATTTTACATAATTTTTTAATATTTTTTAATTGTTAAGTGATCTACCTTTATTATTAATTCGTTTTTTTTTTCAGTAACTTTCGTTAAACACCATTCATTTCATATTTATTAGAATAGAAGGTTTTTTTCTTTAACGTTTTTTTTTATATGCCAAACTAAGGTTCCAGGTAATATGAAAAGCATAAATTTACGTTGTATAAAATAATCATTGTCAATTTACATTGGATACATATAAAATTGATGTTAATTTACATTGGGCATCTATGTAAAAAACTAGTATGTTAATATTTTTATGTCTTATTCACAATTGTGTGACTCTTAATAATACAAAACACAAAGATGATAATGTATATTTCAAAATTTTTGACGCATTTGATTTAAATAATAAACACATGAGTAATATTGTTTCTTTAATAGATTTTCCATTTATTCAACTCCAATTCATAACTACTTAAATTATAAATTTAATCATCATTATGTATACAAATTTAATAATCACAAATTCTTGTTTATAACTATTTTAGGTTACAAATTTAATAATCATTAACTAAAATTTTAAATGAATAAATAACCAAATAATTTAATCATTCTTACTAAAATACATCTTAATATTAATATAAAAATAAATTTTAAATTCAAAAACTAATTTCAAAATAAAAAAATAGTGAATGAATTAAAAAAATAATAAAAACAACGATGACGTCAATTTTAATAACATCTATCTAATAGAAACATTCATATGAAACTACTGTTTTTCCATAGAGTTTTATCCTATATTTATATAAAAAAAATAGACATATATAGTCATTGAATGAAAAATAAATATAAAAATATTCTATTTTGAATATTCTATCTCATATATTTACTATAAAAAAGTATAATAATAAAATGACTGGATTAGTAACTAAAAGAAAAAGAACGAGTAAGTATTAAAATGAAAAAAATATATATAAAAAAAAATCAACTCGTATAAATAATCTATTTAAAATTTCAATTACTTTATTTTTAATTTTAATAAAAAAGTAGAGAACCTTCCAATCTAATAGGAGATAAACATTTATCACCATAAATAAGTTAATGTTAGTGTTATTGTTGTTCATCTACTAAAAAAATTGCTATCGAAGGTGTCCTTGAAATTGTTGTCGTTATTATTTTCATTTAAACTCTTGCCTGCACAAGAAAGAAGAAGAATTGAAAGTGTTATAACACATTTTTTTTTCACACCAACTAATTTCAATTATTTTTAAAAATGATACCAATTTTTTAAAATTAGTTATTTATTAATTCGATGAAAAATTACTGACATAAAAAAACCTATCTTACACTAATAATTTCATATTAAAAAAAACTCCATGATTAATTTGCAAGTATAAAATATAAAATATTATTATAATTATATTTTAACTTAATTTTAATATATAGAAGAATAACATTTTTTTATAGTGAAAAAATTACACATTAGTCGCATGGAGTTAAATATTATGACGTAACTACTATGACGGAACAAATCAGAAGAAGCATTGGCACAAAGCAACTTTTGTGGATTATTCGGTGTTGCAGCACCAGATAATTGAATATATTATCCAAGACTTTCGGTTTAATTATTTTTGTACCAATTTCCCTCCATTATGCCAAGTAATATGAACAATGAAAATAATCAAAACAGATGAAGAATATATAACGTACACTAAGAGTTTACGACATGAAAAATCCCGTGTATATATAAAACTTCTTAACCATACATTTGATACGATGGAATAACTTTTAGACTATGGTGTTCCATCAAAAAATGAATATATACTCCAAAACAATAAATACATAAATATGAATTACTTTAAAATTAAGAGCAAAAAAATAAAAATAAAAAGCAAACATTGAAAGAATAAAACTTTTGAATTCTATACTTCATATTTTCCATACAAAGGATATCATCGAATAACTTTTAGACTCTTGTCCCATAAAAAATGATAAATACTCCAAAACTCTTACCCAACCATATGAATACAAGTTGTTGATGAAATGTTTGAAAATTATTAATCTGGATTTGTGTGGTGTGGTAAAAGCATTGGATTCGGTTTCTTGCATCTATATATTGGTGGCTTAGTTGTTGGTAACGATAAGGCAGTGGAATAGCAGAAGAAGGTAGAGAAAAATTTAGCAGTAAGAGATCAGAATGTCAAACCGTTTGATGAAAAACATCTTGGAACTTCTGGAGGCTGAGCAAGCATCCAGAGGGTCCAACAATGGAACTTTAAACTCATTCAACAACCATGGCGGTGGGAACCAGAATTTCTCGAATGCAAAGATCAACAGTGGTGCATATGCAGGTGATCGGAACAGGTATAACTCCTCAAAACACTACGGTGAACGCGTTATTAACAACAGTGGTACTTTCAATGGTAATGGCAACGGAGGGTACATCGAGGGTGGCTTTAATGCCTCCACACATAACTACTATTAGTTTTCTGCATCTCGTATATGCTGCGCAATATGGTCTACTGTGTTATGCTGTAATACCAATAAATGTGATGGTTTCCCAGTGATGCCTAAACCTTATTATCTTGTAATGGTGGTGGTTAATGTAATAAAGACCTCTGATGTTGCAGTATATTTCTCCGTTTAGTTTTATTCACTAGTTTAAAATGTGCGTCACCGAATTCCCGTTGAACCAAAAAAAGGCCTGGTGATATTTTTATAAATAAAAAAATATTACTTTTACATCGGATATTCTAGAGGATGATTAAGGAAAAAAAAAAGGTTTTTACATCAATTCCCGTAAGACCGGATTTAAAAATTATGTTTTAATTACTTGAGAGCTTTTTCCTTTTGCACGTGAAGCTTTTCGAGTGACGATAACAATAATATCAAATAAATTCTTCTAAAGATACATTTTAATCATAATAAATAACGAAAAAAATACTTATATTGTATCTTTGACGTTTAATTCGAGTTAATGTGTTAACTGGATTGTTATTGAAATTTAACTGTTATAGTGTGTGATTAACTATTTATGCATTTGAGTGGTTTTACAGTTTATACACTACATTTTTTACTACAAGAAAAAATACATTTAGCGACCGAAATTAGCGACCGAATTTTTTCGGTCGCTAATGACCGATTTTATTTTGGTTGTAATTAGCGACCGATTTAGCGACTGATTTAATTCGGTCGCAATTAGTAACCAATTTAGCGACCACTTTAATTCGGTCGCAATTAGCGTACCAAGTTAATTCGATCGCAATTTAGTGACCGATTTAGCCACCAAAATATGATTTAGTTTCACTTTTTTATTTAGCGATCGAAATAGCGACCAATATTTTGCGTCGCAAAATTTCGATCGCTAAATCGAGTGGTTATTCCATATTAAAATAAAAAAATCATTTAACGATCGAATTACAAATTGAAATAGTGACCAAATTAAAATCGATCGCTAAAGAGAAAATAGCGATCGAATTGAAATCGATCGCTAATGAATATTATTTTTTTATTATATTTAAATTTATTTTTTTATAAATATACTTTAATTGTTTTAGTATATTTTTTACAATTTATTTTTTAAAAGTAATTTATTTTTTAAAAATAATTTAATTTTTAAAATATACTTTAAAAATAAACTTTGGTCTCAATATTAACAAAATGAATTGTAATAAATCAAATTTATTAAAAATTTAAATTGTAATAAATTAAGACTAGAGTGATATTAACTATTCAATACATTGTTTAAGAAAAGTTTAATAATAAATATTGTTTAATTTATTTTTTAATTGAAAATTTCAATTGAAATTAAATTATATTTTAAAAATATATATTAAAAAAATTAAACACATCAAATTATCAATTAAAAAAATTCCTCATTAAATTAATTAATTAAAAAAATACAATTTTAATCAAATTATTACAATTTTATTTTATAATACTTTATTTTTAATCTAATTTTTAAATTTATTGCTTTATTATTATTAATTACTTAATCATGGTTGTTGTCATATAATTGATATACCAAAAAAAAATTATATCAATATACATTAGATAATAAATATATTATTTAATTAAACTATTTATAAAAATATATTTATCTTTAGTTAAAATATTTTTTAGTTTAAGTATACTAATTAATATTTTTTATTTTTAACATAATTAATAAAAAAATTAAAAAATTTAAATTAATCTATTTTATAAATACTAAAAATAAACCATATTTAAATAAATGAAAAATATATTTAAATTTATATTCAACATAGTTAAGGTTGTGCCTTTTTAAAATTTATATTCAACATATATTTAAATTTATATTAAAAATAGTTAATATAAATTAAGGTTGTGCTTTTTAAAATTTTAACTTTTTTATATATTGGATTTTCATTAAAAAATTTCTAAAATTGCATAAGAAAATAGATATTTAATTATACTTTTAATAAATTTAAGATAATACTAGTTTTTATTTTTATTTTTAAATATTTATTTTAATTTTTTTAAAAGAGAGAAACTATAATTTTAGTTTCTAAATACTAAATTTAAAAAATTAAATTTATTATTATTTAATATTTTAATTTTAGTATTAAAAATCTAAATAATATTTTATTAAATTAAAATAATTACAATATATTTTTCTACTTTGAGAATTAAAAATATAATTAAACTAAAACTGAAAATATTATAATACATTTTTGAACTCTTTTTTATAATATTTTTATCATTATTATATTTTTGGATTAATTATTTTTTTCCTAATTTTTTATAAAGTCAATTTTAATATTTAAAAGTATTTAACATTTTGAATTCTGAAACTTTTTCTCTATTAACAAATTTAAAAACATAATATACTAAAAAAGTATTATAAATAATTATTTCATCCAAATTTTTAATAACATGATAAGTCATCAAATTCGTATATAAAACAAATTTAATGATGGATTAAAATAGAACAACATTTATAAGAAACTATTTGTTTTTATTTATGATGGATCAAAAGTGGAAATACATTTAAATTTATAATTTTATTTATGAAACACATTTAAATTTATAATTAACGAAAATAATGAAAATCTTAATATAATATGATACTTTTAGTAATGTATTTTTGGATAAATTTAAACTTACTTTCTTTAGTTTAGTTTTTAAATTTTATGTATTATTATTGTTAATTGATATACTAGAATAAATTTATATAAAAATAGTCTTTATCTTCAAAATTCACTTCTTCAAATACTATCTTTATATTTTTATACTTGTTTCTTTATAGTTAAGAAGGTCAGCATTTATGCACACACTTAAATATAATATAAAGTAAAGAGTATTTGTTTGTTCTATTTTATTTCCAATCTATAATTTTAATTTTTAAAAATGTTTATTTCCAATCTATAATTTTACGAAATCACATAGAAATGTATTATATCTTATATTATAGAAATGAAATTAAGTTATACTTTGAGAATATATATATATATATATATATATATATATATATATATATATATTAAAATATAATTTATTTTTAAGTTGATAAATTTATTTTTATTTATGTAAATTTTATATATAAAATTAATTTAGAATTCATATATGTAATTTTAATTTATGTAATATATATATATATATATATATATATAATTTATATAATATATATAATTTATTTAACATTAAAAATAGTTAAATTGTAAGAGCGGTTCCAACTGAACTCGCTATCATATATAGAATTCATTAATTTTTCAAATTATAGATTATAATTGATTAATTTCTCAAATATATATTAAAAATTTATAAATAAAAATATATATTAAATTAAAATTAAAAAAATTTATTTATGAATTATATATTAAAAAATTTTAATTATATAATTAAAAAAATCTTATTTATAATTATAACTTTTAAAAAAATTATAACTATAAAATTAATGTAAGTAAATTATATATATTATATAAATTATATATATATATATATATTACACAAATTAAAATTACATATATGAACTCTAAATTAATTTTATATATAAAATTTACATAAATAAAAATAAAAATTATCACCTTAAAAATAAATTATATTAATTTTAATATATATATATATATATATATATATATATATTTTTTAACTATTTAAAAAACTAATCGATTATTTCAAAAAGTAATTTATTAGTTTTTTCATACTTCATTTTTTCATACTTGATGAGAATCAGTTATTTTTTTAAATAATTGATTAATTTTTAAATAATCAATTAGTTTTTCAAATATATATTAAATAATTATAAATAAAAAATATATCAACTTAAAATTGAAAAAAATAATTATTTTTAAATTATATATATTATATAAATTATAAATATAAAGTTAAAAAAATTATATTTAAAATTATCACCTTAAAAAAATTGTAATTATAAAATTAATAAAAATATAACTATTTGTAATGTTAAATAAATTATATATATTATATAAATTATATATATATATATATATATTACATAAATTAAAATTACATATATGAACTCTAAATTAATTTTATATATAAAATTTACATAAATAAAAATAAAAATTATCAACTTAAAAATAAATTATATTTTAATATATATATATATATATATATATATATATATATATATATATTCTCCAAAGTATAACTTAATTTTATTTCTATAATATAACATATAATAGCGGTTCCACGTGAAACCGCTATTATATGTTAACCTTTAAGAGCGGTTTCAGTTGAACCGCTGTCATAGCTCACCACATCTTTCATTATGATCGATTAAATTTTCAAATAATCGATTATATTTGAAAATATATAATAGCGGTTCCAAGTTAACCGCTATTTAAAATTTTTTTTAGATAGCGGTTAACGTGGAACCGCTATTATATGCTCACTTTTAAGAGCGGTTCGAGTGGAACCGCTATCATATATAGAATTGATTAATTTTTCAAATTATAGATTATAATTGATTAATTTCTCAAATATATATTAAAAAGTTATAAATAAAATATATATTAAATTAAAATTAAAAAAAATTATTTATCAATTATATATTATAAAAATTATAATTATATAATTAAAAAAATATTATTTATAATTATAACTTTGAAAAAAATTATAACTATAAAATTAATGTTAAATAAATTATATATATTATATAAATTATATATATATATATATATATATATATATATATATATATTACATAAATTAAAATTACATATATGAACTCCTAATTAATTTTCTATATAAAATTTACATAAATAAAAATAAAAATTATCAACTTAAATATAAATTATATTTTAATATATATATATATATATATATATATATATATATCTCCAAAGTATAAATAATTTTCATTTCTATAATATATAAAATATATATATATATATATATATATATTTTATTAACTATTTAAAAAACTAATCGATTATTTCAAAAAGTAATCTATTAGTTTTTTCATACTTCATTTTTTCATACTTGATGAGAATCAGTTATTTTTTTAAATAATTGATTAATTTTTAAATAATCAATTAGTTTTTCAAATATATATTAAATAATTATAAATAAAAAAATATATCAACTTAAAATTAAAAAAATTATTTTTAAATTATATATATTATATAAATTATAAATATAAAGTTAAAAAAATTATATTTAAAA